AATTTGGAGCAAGAAAAAAGAAAAGCAACCAAAATCGTCACTTATCCCCTTTTATGACTAGTTTCTTCAAATGGTATGTGTACAGGCATTATTTTTCTCACGCTCTTCCCCTCACACATGACTCGCGCTTTGTGCTCACCTCACTTTCGTCTCTGTTCGCCTAAAATACGCAAAAAAATAACGCCTGTTATGCTGGCTAGACAAACATTGATGTGATAATAAGCTTACTTATTTCAACAAGTTGTGTAATGTTGCTTACCAAGATCGTACAAAGGTAACTCATCCCCACCAAGACAAGGTTCTCTGTCAGCTCTAAAGTAAAATGTGAACACAAATTTGCATAAGTTACCACTTCATTTTGACCAATATAAGCTTAGATACCATCATCCAAACATCAATATTCTGCAAATTTGCTATCTGTGAACTTTCCCAGACTGTCTTTCCTCTCTCTCCAAAGATTAAATATGGACTGGCGGAGATGAATATACTTCGCTGAACCAAGTAAACAGGGCCTTCCAACATGCACAGTTCTCTCCTTATCCACCATTGCCGATCTCAGTTACACTACAGCTACATACTCACACAAAATGATTGAACTGAATGCCTACTCACAATCTTTATCCAAAATATTGCTGAAAAGCAAGAATATAATAATAATTAAAAGAAGTCTATTTACATTAATTGAAGAGATTGAAATAGAAAAATAAAACATATGTTGAAATAGAAAAGAGCTAAGGGCACATGGCAAATTACAGAGATGTCATACTCTAAAAATGTGCAACAGATAATGGCTGAAACCAGACCTATGACCTCTAAAAAATACTTATACTGCTCGATCAAATGGCTCTACTCTACTTTAAAGTCCTCCTAATACCACAGCCATTCTAAAACAAGTGTAAAACATAACATAATAAAAAATGGTCAAGAGATGGAAATTCAAAACAGGAAGGCAAAGGTGAAAGTTTCATGAACTGTAGGCAGCAAACTTTACAACAGAGTTTGCTGTTTGTCATTTATAATAAAGATTACTGACAGATGTGCGTCATAACTTTGTGGACCGACCAATAGAATTACGCTATCACCAGAGTGCTGGGCTTCAGAAATGCTGTATGAAACCATTGCAGTCTCTAATTGCTCGTCTTTCAGTACCCACGCAACTTGTGACTTGCGGCTTCACAAGGACATCATGCTTGCACACAGCCACCCACTTGTGTTGTGTTTTTCTTTGCATTCTCCTCCATGGATTTTTGAGCAAAAGAGAGTCTACTAGATGTCTAATAATAATTATAATAATCTACATAAATCTACATCTCATTGATATTGTCAAGAGTACAACCAAGATCCCTCCCCAAGGAGATGAATGATGTCTGTGTTGAAATTACTTCTACATGTACTTTGTGGTTGAGCGACAACCATATATTTTTACTCAATGACCATTTCAATTCTTCTGATCTTCTTATGATCTGATTGCATAGAGAGCAGTGACTTTACCATTTGGTTTTTGCAGATGCAGGGCGATTTCTTTTTGTTTTCCTCAGTTCATTTTTTCATGCAGCAGGGAGGGGCAGACAGACTTGTCATGGGAATATTCCTGCCATGATCACAGGGGACAAAGTACATGCCATCCTCATAGTTGTAAAGAAACAGACAAAATCGCTTCAGAGTTCTTGAACTGGGAAATGTATTTTGTAGATGTTTTTGAAATTAAAGGTCTGGCCATGAAAAGCTGCTTTGTTCATAAAAAGAATTATGGTAAAGCAATAATTGCTGACAAATTTTATATAGTGAGTACAAGCAACAACCCATCTTGTGCACGTTTGTTCAAGACTTCTTGAACTCACCTTCAACAGAACTGTGTATGCAAAGTACAAAACTTGAGCAGCGGATGAAGTTAAACATTTTCATGACATTCACTCTGAGGTGAGGTAATAGACTTGAAGCCATAAATCTATGGAAACAAATTTGACTCTTCACAGCTTGCAGATAGTTAAGTACATCAGGTAAACTTGTTATTCTTGTTTACCCAAGATAAAGGATGTCAACCAGGGTATAAAGGTTAGTTCTCCTTATGTATCTTGAATTCCAGTAATGTTGAGTCATAATTCAGCATGCTTCCAGAATTTCTCTCAACATTGACGTTGTCTTAACTTTCTTGAATTTTTCAAATTTATGATAATCATCTGGATGTGAGAAATCTATCTTGCCAAGATTCTTGACGAGTGTTTGGTCACTGAGGTTGCACTTAATAAATAATAAAAAAATAAACTTAAACATGGAGCGAGCCTCAAAAAGGCAAGGACACGCCAACCTTTGAAGCACTTAGGGTCAACTTTTCTGTGTAATAATGGAAAGCCAAAAAAACGGTCGCACAACAGTACAGGTTGTGAAGAAAAACATTTGTTTTTTTGCTAAAACAATGGAAACATTCCTTAGAATAAAATATGGTAAACAATAAAAATTGAGAGAAAATAGGACTTTCATTAACACTTTGGAAGATGCCCTTGGAAGAACAAAATGATGAATTCTCTTTGTCCATTCGGCAGTTAGTTTACGGAACATTCAAATTCCCCTGGTGACTATACTAGCAAAGCTGATGCCTGCGATCAATGAGCTATCTGTTTCCATTTACCTGAGCATGCTGAGAATGAAAACAAATCTCATAGGACATAATTTCGGTTAGCCTGCGAACACAGACAGCTTTTGGTGGGATATTCAAAATTATTCTGATTTTTGAGCAATATGCAGTTATTCCTCTCAAACTGTTCTATTATTCAGCTCATTCAGAGCAAAGAAATTCGAGTAAAAAAAATACAACAAAGAAAATAAAGAAAACTTGAAAAATGGCAAAGTGAGATTTTACCTGAATATCGACATTACATGTTGAAAGGAGAAGGAAGACTCATGCATGGCTGAATGCAATAAAAACAAAAATGCATTCGTAAAAGATCGACTGAATTTGAGCAGCAAGATTACAACAGCAGCTGATGCTCACCTTATGGAATCTCTTCTAGATAATTGGCTGAAGAATAACCATATTATCGCATATATAATAACAGTTTGTTTTGTGGCCTGCTTGAATTACATTCAACTTCTTTGTGTGGTATAAATCTGGCAACATATGATTACCAGCTGCACGTTATCTTAAAAGTTTGTTTGAATCTTTGCATTTTTATGGGTTTTAGTTTCCAAAGTTATTTCTCAACTGCCTTATAAATTCACGAAGGAGTAAAGAGACTCTATATTCTTTTGTGGCATCAAGAGTAAAAGACACGGCATTATAACTTGAGTAAAAGCTCGAAAACATACAATATGCTTTTGCAAGTGGAAAAAACAAAATCATGAAATTGAAATCAAAAAAGTTATTATTATCTTTCCATACTCTTCTCCTGAAGCTACAGGTGTATTGCCTGTTTACTTCAAAAGGTATTCCTTACTTCTAAAACAAAACAGAAAATTACAACTGATCGCTCTCCAAAATTTTGCGGCAACTTGGTACACACTGAAATTAGACCTGAGTGAACAAAAACCAATCAAATGGGAGCATTGGTGGTCCGTTGGGATTTGTGATTGGCAGGCTGAACACCTCAGCCTTGTTATACAGGCTTGCTCTGTGTTTAAGGAGAAAGGACAATGACAACAACAAAAATAAATCCAGCCTCCTGAACACTAAAAGGATAAAACTTGCATTTGAAATGAGAATATTTAAAAGAGAAATGGAGAAATGACAAAATGGCACTATGAGTAAGAGTTGATGTGGAATACAAGTGTCCGTAAGGGATAATGGTACAATTACTGAGAGCTAACCACTGTTGAGTCAGTGATATTTAGGCTAACCTGAGCGCTATTTAGGCTAACCATAGCACCATTCAGGCTAACCATAGCAGCATTTTGTTGTTTTACCATTTTGAGTTTTAAACATCCCCATTTTAATTTAATAAATTATCCTTTGAATGAACATAACTTACAGCCTGTAAAAATTTATGCACCACAAGCAGACAAATCAGGATTGGTGGAATTTGATGATGGGCAGTGGTGTTAGGAACCAGCTTTAAAAGAGAAGAGAATGGAGGCGAGTGAAATCCGAACCATCTCAGAATCAGGCTAAATGTCTCCTAGACTTATAGGTAGACTTTCCCTACCTCTGTTAGGTGGTGAAAAGTTGCATAATACAATTAAGTGCACCCTGCACGCAGAGCCTTTTTTTTACAATACATATGTAAAAAAACAGATGAAAGAGGCTCCGCTCACAGAGTGAATTAAGTGGTGTATTTTTACAGTCACTCCCTTGCAAGAAAAACACTAACATATAGCCAAAATCAAAAGTTCAAAAACGTAGGAACAAGTGTTTATTAATACAATATGACACTAACCTGTCCAACCTATATTGATTCTTCACATGTAATATGTATTGGCAGCAAATTAATGTAAAACAACTCCTGGTCTCCTCCACAGTACCATGGAATTACATCCTGGAGTGTAATAGGAACAAATTGCTGATAAATCTGCCTTCAGTGTTACCATTCTCAAGTACATGTACGAGTATAAAGCTTGAGTCACTAGGACATTGGCAACTCAAAACTGTGCTTGTCTGACATGGAACGTACATCAAGACGAGCTCAGTGGTTAGACCAGGGCACCGAGCTTAGGTTGTAAACAACTTGATATCACACCATTGCGATTTTCAGTGTCTCGTTATAGTCAGGTTAGGGTACGAACACTAACAAAAGATTGAAAATTTTGGTCTGAGTGAGTACACAGGTGGGAAAATTTGGCCTAATGTAGAATGCTGCTTCTAGATGTCTTACTGGATGCTTACCAACATGTAGTGTACAGGGTTTAAAAGATCGAGTACACCCAGCACCACAGAATATATTATCCAACTCGCTGTTTACAAACAGCTGCCAGTTCGCGAAACACAAGCATATGAATCCTGGAAATTTCGCAGAGATCATCGGTGACTTGGTAGCCGAGCACTTTTTTGTTGTTGTTTTGCGCAATCCTGGGGAGGTTAAAACGTCCCGCTTGGATCGATGGGAAATACAACCAGCACGTGTCACGCCAGCTCACGTGGTCGGACTGACTATAAATGCCTTCCAGTACAGATTAAGGCGGGGTTTCAAATGAAGGCCCCATTATTTTGGTTGGGTATTTTGGTTTTAACGCAAATATCTCGATCACGTTTCAAGCAGTCAAAAATCTCTCCATTCATCCCACATATCTATGTTTCAGTTTATTTTGTAAACTTTTGGGGGATTTTGGGGTATATTTGGGGATAAATAGTTTTTCTCAAAGGATTAGTACAATTTATGGAAATAGGAAATGTGGAAGATTTGATGTTGTTTTAAAATTAGAATTTGAAGTGTAAAATTGGTAGATGTACACCAAACAGTTGTCCACCAACCTGGGGTACCCTTTTGGTGGCAGTCAACTGTCTGGTGGTATTCCAAAACTATTTTTTTCCAGTTAATCTCTCTTCAAAACTTCCTAAAATTTCTCTTAAATTCAGGTGGAACCCCGCCTTAAGATGACTCGTAAGTATTGTTCGAATACAAAAGCCTACTGCTAGGGAACAACGTTTAGAATGCATCTTGACTTTTAAGAACTTCGTACTGAAATTGAGCCCCAGGGCCCTAGTGAGAATTTTGACATCTCTAGTTATTTTATGTCCTTCATTTTTGACTTTGATGTTTAAAGTTAGAGGCTAGGTCGTACAGTATGTTAGGTTATTCCAGTTCAAAGAGAGGCGATTTTTATTCGGTGACTTTGCAATTAGAAATCTTAGTACTTATATGATAACACTTTTTACAAGTCTTCTTAAATTTTGTCAATCTCTGACTTCCTCCGTTATTTTGATATTTCAGTTGATAACGGCCATGACCAGTTAATGTGTGCTGAAATTGCCTAAAATTGGTTGACCTAATTAACTCCTCAAAACATAAACAGTGAAAACAAATTTTATAAAAGAGAATAAAAAGTAAAACTTCGATAAACTGTGCTAACCCTAGTTAAACTTTTAAGGTCGCTAATCTCTATATCTTGGGCGGTGGCCTCATGGTTAGTGCGCTCGTCTCCGGATCGAGCGGTCCGAGTTCGAGCCCTGGCCGGGGACA